TTACCACACCAGACTTGGTATGATAATTCTCTATGTTCTCTAACCAATGCACCGATGTGGTCTCCTTGTTCTTTCAACCTTTGACTTAGCCCGCTCAAATAACTGTTTAGCATGTTAATCTCTGCCTGTGCTTCAGTACTTTCTTTTTCCAACTCGGCATACTCTTATTTCAGTCTTGTATTTTCCTCAATCAGCTCGACAATGGTTATCTTTTTGGCTCTTTCTTTCACACATAGCCTCTTATGCTCTTGGTGTAACTTTGCTAGATCTTCAGTAGCTGTATCACGTTCTCTAGCAGTCTTGTGGACTTTAACTTCATAACTTTCGGCTCTACCTTTCCATCGAGCTTTTTCTTCTTGAAGTTCTTGAATCTCTTTCTTTAACTTGATCTTCTCAAACTCAAATTCTTTTGTTGCCAGTTCTAACTCTGATGGTGTCTCTTCAAGTTTTTCTTCTGTTGGTGGTTGAGATATTTCATAAGTGAATATCATTTCTTGTCTTTTTTTTGTTCTCCAAACCAAGTAACCTGGGGTGACTTTTTCAGTGAATGGTCTAGGACTCACTTTTTGGGGATTTTTCCATGCTTTGATCATCTCATTCATCCTCTGAAATGCTTTAGGCTCATGTAAGAGAAATCTAACTGATGAAGCCCATAAGTTATAGGAATGAAATGTTCTCCCCCCAATTGCCTTCTCACTAAGAGTGGTACATAATTCGTCACTCTCTATAAACCTAGAAGCGGAACCACTGTACTATCCCCACATTGGTATAACATAGGCTCACGATTCATCCATAGGGCCAACCATCTCACCCTGGCACTTTCTAATTTTTGTAAGAAAGTTATCCATTCTTGTTTAGACTTTCGCTTTGACCACCCACTTTCGTAGAATTCTTTGATCGAAAAATGATTACGGATGTAAATCTTCGAGAAAGCACCATTTCTTTGTTCAAAATGGCTTTTCATCCACATGTACAATAACTGTATGCATCCTATGAAGCACTCTCTATTTCGACGATAATAACTCAAAGATCTGATAGTCTCTATTAATATTACCGTTGAAAGATTACAGCCATTGATCACACTTTCAAAGAAATCAACCACCGCTATCTCAATATGTCCCAAAACCTTTGAAAAAATCACCAGTCCGTATATAGCCAAGGTAAATATGTCTAACCCCGTTCTTCATTGGCATGTTGCATCAGAAACTCATGAAAAAACTTCCAAGGTAGGCAAACCTGTTCTTGTTTCTTCTTTGTATGAGAATCCATGACTTTCTTGTCTATCCCCATGAATTGAGCCAGACTTTTACGAAACCCTGACTTATGCTTTTTGACATATATTTTGTCAGGAGCCTTGAGATGCAAACCCAACAAGACCAAATATTCTTCTATGATGGGAGTCATATCAGTTTCATTAAAGATGAAACACCTGTATGCAGGATCTCAAAATTGTGTTGCAGCTCTAATTAGTTGATCATCAACAGCCACTGCTAGAAGGTGTGCTATATGCCCATGTTTCTGGCAAAACTGCTCTTGTCTTGACGGACTCATCTTCTTTCAGATATCCACTAAATCTTTTAAATTGTTTTGTTTGAGGAGGATAGATATTTCTTAAGACAGAGTAGACTCATACCCAATTGGCAAGCAATCTCCCATCTTCAGTTGAGTTTTTTCTGATTAGGCCCTTACTTCATTAGGTGTCTCATAAGGTGCTAATACTGATGAAGAACAGACTAAGCGTTCATTGGTGTCCATGAAAAAAATTTGTTGAAGACCATTTTTTTAGGCAAATGTTCTTTATGCAACTTTATGATATGCACATGAACCAATGCAAAAAGAAAAAAAAAGGTTAGTATACCCAGAAAAAGAATAAATGACTAAATAAATTTAAACATCACACAAAGTAAAAAGGATGAATCCTATGCTTTTGGTTAATTCTATCAGGGAAGAGTGATGGCTCTGTCTATAGGTTTGGCACTCTTAAAGTTCACTATATGCGATTTTAGGGTCAAAGTCTAAAGGTCCTCAAATTGTTCCTTACATCCTTGTCCATCGCAGACTAGTAAGGCACCCTAATCCTCACCCATTACAGGCTACAAGCGAAAAAGGTTCAATTTGAGTGGGAGTATTTCGCTAGCCAATGCGGAGGCATTAGACCTCACGAAAGCAATAGGTACTTTACTCCCTCCTAGAGGGACGGAGCTCGGGTGTAGAGCTCATGTTATGCACATGCATATGAATGACATGATTAACAAGGTAAATAAACATGAATGAATAATAACACATATATACAAAAAGGTTCAATTTTATTAGGCTTTTGGATAACACAAATTATTTGTTGGCCTGACTCTCAAAATCTCCAGTGGAGTCACCAAGCTGTCATAACGTCTAGATCCGGGGATCTATCGCTAGACATTGACTTTAGGGAGTCGCCACCAATCTTTTTTTATTAAGGTGCGATTGGCCACCTTAGGAATCTGTCCTTCCAAGGAACACTTAAGTTTAAGGGTCCCTAAAAGAATAGGTTCAGGTCTACTAACCAGAACAAAGTTCGGGAGTTCGGTTACGTGTGAGAAAGGTTATAGCACCCTCACAACGCCCATCAAAAGATGGTACCAGCTGAAATTCGTGTTATCCAAAAGCCTTAAAATTTTACCAAGTAATTAATTATTAGAAAATTTTTTCAATTGACTCTAATACTTTTAGCAAAAAATTGAGAAAATTCCCTCACCTCAAGAGTATACAAGAAAAACTACTGTTTTACTTGCAGAGGCTCCATCGTTAGATTGGTTAAAGAAAAATCAAAATCAAAATCAAAATAGAAAGAAAGAAGAGAATGATTGTTCTTGTGTGGGGAAAATTGATACTTTCAACTTTTTCCCAAAAATATTTTTTGGAAATTTATTTTTAAGGAAAATTGATACTTTCAACTTTTTCCTAAAAATATTTTTTTTGGAAATTTTGATTTTTATTTAAAAAAAAATAGAATAATAAAAAAATAAATAAAAATAGGAAAATAAAGAAAAGTAAAAAAAAATAAAAATAAAATTAGGATAAAAGAATATTAAATAAACCTAATCTAATAAATAAAAAAAGAAAAAAAAATAAACAAATAAATGAAAATAAAAAAAATTCAAAAAAAAAAAAACCTGGAGCGGCTCGGATCGCGGCTTGGCTCGGCTCGGCTCACGGAAGAGAAACGGCTCGGGAGGCAGCTTGGGAAGCTCAGCTCGGCTCAGCTTGGCTAGGAGGGGGGCTAGCACGGGCGGGTCAGGAAGCGGATCGACGCTCGGGTCGGGTCACGACAAAATGTGCGGATCTTCTGGGTCACTTAAGGCTAAAACGACGTCGTTTTGAGAGGGTATAAAAGGCAGTTCCCTTCGTTTTTTGACAGAAACCTTCTCCCCTCTCTCTCTCTTCTTTTTTCCTCTCCCTTCTCTCTAAAAGCTGAAGAACTCCGGTGGAATGTTCGTCGGATTCTGGAAAATATCACCGGAATCTGGAAAATTACACCGAAAGTTCATCGGAAGTTGGTTGGAAGGTCACCTGTTTTTGGGATTCTTTGCCGGAAACTGGGCAAGTCGTCGAAAACTTCAAGTTTGACGGGATTTTTGCCGAAAAATTCAAACTTTGTCGAAAAATTCAACCGGAATCTGGAATTTCCAAAAATTCCCAGAAAAAAAATTGCCAAAAAGCTTCAAAAAATTTCTTCTCACTCCCAGAACACTCATAAACCTTTTCTTAGCTCTCTATCCGTCCCTATTCTCTCAATCGGTAGCTTTTACTTACTGTTTTCTGTGTGTTCTTTATTCTGTTCCAGAGGTCCCTTTTATAGGGATTGATCAGGAGTTCCTAATCAATCCCAATTCCTCCTTGGACGAGAATTCAATCTTTGAATCTAATCTGGACTCTCTTGATTGAATTCCCCTTCACAGTGAGATTCTCTAACTTTCAATCTCAGCCCTCCAAAATCAAATAAAAAAATAATAGATAATTAGAAAAGATAGGATAAATAAAAAAATAATAATAATATCATATATACAAAAAATCAGATAAACGAAACTGGAACAAGAGAGAAAAAAGAAGAAAAAAAATTAACAGATAATACAATAAGATAAATCAAAAAAATATTACAAAAAAAAATAAAATAAAATAAGAAAAATAATAAATAAATTATAATATATAATAAATATAGAACTATATTAAATAAATACACTTAAATCTATTCTAAATAAAAATAAATAAATACAGTATATACCATATATTCAATACATAATAATAATAATAATAAATAATAAAATACATAAAATACAAAAAATAATAATAATACAGAATAAAAATTGAATTGGGCCTTACCCATTTGGGTCAGGCCCAATTGATCTGGGTCTGGATCCAATTGGGTGTCTACAATTTCTTTTCTCCTTGTATCAAAGAATCAAAACAAAAATATGTTAAATTGTAAATATCCAGTCAATACTTTCCTCCTACTCTAACTACAAAGGATGAGTGAATTCTACCATAAGTGACAACTTTTTGTAAAGCATCACTTTTAGGGCAAAATAAGGTCTATCCTGTCTTAACTCTTCTGTAATAGAATGACAAATTCAGCAACACTATACAAAATGCATACAACAAATTAAATGTATTATCTTTTTATTGCATGTACTCACAAACGGGAGTTTTGCCATTCATACCCACTGTAACTTACCTCGCAACTGACTAAAAGGAGGTGGAACGGTAATGGTAACCAAATAAATTAAAACTACTATACAATTTATAGAAAAGTAAAGCAAATAAAACCTGAGTGAGGATACATGTATTCAACTTAGACAGTAGAAGTGGCAGTCAGTACACGATGGCCTGCAAAACAGAAGCAAATTCCACCCTTAGCATAGTCACTCTTTTCTTATACTAAAGAAGAGAAGTGATAAAAATGGTCAGACGGCACTAAAGCTTGATATGAGTAAGGCCTATGTCGAGTGATTTATTTGGAAAGAGTGATGCAGAAACTGGGTTTATCAGAAAAATGGATCTCGTGGAAAATGATGTGTGTATGTAGTGTTGCTTACTCGGTTGTGATCAATGGGGATCAAAGTGGTAGGATTTTTCCGACAAGAGGACTCAGGCAAGTGAAACCGTTGTCTTCATATCTCTTTCTGTTATGTGTAGAAGGGCTGTCTTGCTTACTCCATCAAGCTGAACTAAGAGGAGATATTCGGGGAGTTGCAGTGACTAAAATGGCGCCAAAGGTATCTCATTTATTGTTTGCTGATGATAGTATATTTTTCCTTTGGGCGAATGTAATGGAGAGGCAGACCATTCTTGATCTACTTCGCCAATACGAGAAAGTGTCGGGACAAGTGATGAATGTGGGAAAGTCGGCTGTGTTGTTTAGTTCTATCACAAGTGCAGGAGTCCAAAGCGATGCTAAGACGTGCTTGGGAATCAATAAAGACGTGACCAAAGTCCTTAATCTTGGCTTGCCGCTTCTAATTGGAAGGTCAAAGAAGAGAGTTTTTCAGCGGATAAAAGATAAGGTGTGGCAGCAAATAGAAGGCTGGGAAGGAAGACTGTTATCATATGCGGGTAGGGCAGTTCTAATACGTAGTGTAGCACAATCCATTCCTATGTATTATATGAGCTGTTTTTGCTTCCTAAGGGCGTCGTGCATGAGTTAAATATGATCATTGCAAGGTTCTGGTGGGGCGGCAGCGAAGACCAGAGGAGTATTCATTGGAAAAGCTGGGACTCTTTATGTGTCTTGAAGCTGGTTGGGGGAATGGGCTTTAGAGATTTTGAAGCTTTCAATCTTGCCATGCTGGCGACTAATATGGTTCTTTGCTATTTCATCAGGTTCTTAAGGCGAAGTACCAGGGAACATTGTTAAATGCTGATATAGGGCTAATACTTCTTACACATGGCGAAGCTTAATGGAAGGAAATAAGTATTAGCAGGGGCAAGATGGAGGGTGGGGATGGAGAACAGGTTGATGTGCGGAGAGATAAATGGATTAACAAGGTGCCTAGTTATAAACCGATTTGCCCTATGGAATATACTGGTCACTCATTGAAGGTAGCAACACTAATAGACAGTAATACACGCACGTGGAAGGAGGAACTGATAAGCTTGTTATTCAGTCAAGAAGATGGTAACATAATACTCAACATGCGATTGAGCCGACAAGTCCAGAAAAACTGATATGGATAGAATCGCAGCTGGGAATCTTTACAGTGAGATGAACGTACCATCTAGCTAGGCGAGTGCTGGGGAAAGAACAATTACAGAGAGAACTGCGATCCCCGATTTGGCAAATGTTATGGAAGGCGAAGCTGCTGCCAAAGGTGAAGATATTTATATGGAGATTATTATGGGGTATACTACCAGCTAAAGAAGCGATGACAGCTCAAGTAGTGGGAGTGGATTGTAGATGTAGTGTTTGTGGAGTGGAGAACGAAACAGGTTTTTGTGTTTTCTTTGACTGTGTCTTTAGTCGTGCAATATGGGAGGAAATTTGTGCACGGATGCAGACTTTTTTGGATAGGTGGTCCTCGTCTGATGAGTTTCTGCTAACTTTCATGATTAAAAGCAAACAAGAGAACCAAATGGATATTTGTTTGTATGCTTTGTGGCTTATTTGGCTGAACCGAAACCAGTGTCCACACAATGCTAAATGTAATAATACTATAAGAGTCATAACTAACAAAGTAAGAGGAACTTTACACAGGTTTAATTCTGGTAATTTTCAAACAAACTGCACAAGAGTCATTATTGATAGACCAAAAAGCTCTAGCTTTTTTTTTCTTTTCTGTTTTTTTTTTTTTTTTTTTCAATCAAATGCGAATACACTATCTTTAATCAGTTAAATAAACTTAAAACAAAGTTTCAATCCTGAACTTGTTTGAGGTTCGTTATGTGAATTGATTTTGTCCATCCTGCATGATTCAAGCCACAATAAGTGTGATGTTCAGATACCAGCTTTTATAACCTAGAATAGAAGCTTTAGCCAAAAATATATCTCTTTGCATGTTAAGAGTCTAACGCACATGCATTATGTGATTCTTTCTAGAATTTCGTAGCATGTCAAGAGTTGATTATCTACATATACTTGTAAAATGGACTTTGGAGTGTTTCAAGCATAATACTTGCCAGACATGAAGTGAATATGTCCCAATACACAGGTAATAACGATCATGAATCACTAGTGATGATCAGATTCTCAATTTCCAATCATAACACTAACCACAAATGCAAGCACCTGCTGTAATACACCTAATATTTCTGATATAGCAGTCCCAAGGGTGGTTGAATCAAGTTCATCTTCAGTTATAACCCATGAACCTGCTACATCTGCCATTAGAGAGGCATTGCTACATTTATGTCCTTCTGCAACATATGATGATGGTATCTATGGCATCCATGAGACAAATACGAAGTAGACAACAAGCTAAAATTAAAACAAGGCAAAAGGTAGTATTTTGGAACTTTGCCTCTTCCTACACGAGGTTTAAAACAATAAAAATAAAAATGTTTTGACGCTTATATTGGGAGGATAGCAATAAGTAGAAATATTAATACCGGACAGGCCAGAATGACAAAGCTAATACACATCAATCCCCAACGATGAAGTAGAGTTTTGATTAGGGACTCACACATGATAACTTTGCATGTATTACCAATTTGAATAAATTAATCCAAAATCAACATCCATTATGAATGATATCTATTGATAGATTATGCACAGTTGGTGTCTATAAAAGGCACACACATTGGCCCCAATAACCTAGTTTTATTGATCATTTATTTTGTCACATTCTGTATCAGCCATAATCTAATCCATATGAAAAATAAGAACTAGTTAAAAACTGTGGATCTTATACAGGGACATGTACTATCAAAAATCATGTTGATCCTCTGCATCATGAAACATTTTCCAAACTACTAATATTACCACGGTTTCCATGACCTTTTCAGAGTGATCTCATATCATCATGATTGAGGCAATTTCCATGACAATAAATCATTTTATTTAGTTCCCTTCCACTCACTTTCTTCACGTTAATGTTTAAAGCAGTCACCACCGCAAGAGGAAGCAGAAAACATTAGCCAAGTCTTTTATGGTTAAGAATAATCATTCTTCTGGGCAGAAGATATACTATACTATAATGTTTCATTTATTCAAATATTATTATAGAATGGCACAAAGTTCAATAATTTCCTTTACCAAAATTAGAAAAATATCTTCTCTGAACAGATATGTCTGTGAACAGATTGGAAAAATCATCTGTCCAGATATGTCAAATAGCAGTAAAACAGTCCTAGCTAGCATGTTAGATTAGTAAAATAATCCAGTTAGTTCATTCATGGTTTTGATATTATTAGAAATTGATGTTAACTGCTGCCTCAACATACCCCCCCACCCCCCCCAATAAAAAAAAAAAGGGAAAGGTAAAATGGGTGATGTTCTTCAATCTACCAATATAGAAGGTTTCCCAGTAGCCAAGATCTCAGAACAAGTCATTGCCCCAGCTCGAGAAACAATGAGGTCAGCCGCCGCATATGCCAAATCCATTGAATGCAAGAACCTTCATAATTTCAGAGATACATGCAATTTTAGAAAACTAAAAATATAAACACTTTGGTAACCACAGTATTATTTCAAAAATCTGAGCTTCCTTGATTAACCACAAATAGCAACAATAAGCTCATCACATTTCCAGCCAGAATTCTAGAACAATGACAGGGAATTATAAGCAAGGGTCTGACCTCAAGGGTAGAACTGCCAAGTGCCAATTATTATTGATGGATGCCAGTAATAAAATTTAAAAAATGTTATCTAGACCAAATTAACATTGAGGAACAGAACATCTGAAGTTTTTGAAGAACATAATTCAACTGGACGGATGCCACCGCTCTACATGTGAAATTTGACTTTTGATGAGGTAATAAAATTGTTAACAGGAGCCTATTACTTCTGTTGAATTCCAGCACCAAGATGAAAAGCCTATAGAGAGGATAATGAGGTATTATCTGCACCAGCACAACCATGTGCAAGTTAACTCTCAAAACAATATACAATGATCACTACATAAAAAAATGACAGCAGATCAAAAAGTAGATTCCAGCATCCGAGCAAGCTTAAGGTCAAATGAGAACCATCACAACTTTACAAGGCAAACAAAACGATGCACCTTGATCTGGATACACAAACATGGAATACTATGCATGATTTACTACAACCCTAGGACTGTTACATCTTTTTCTTATCTTTAATGGGAAGACATGTAAGTGTGTTTGCATTTGTCTATCAAACTAACGATACAATCACACACACACAGACACACACACTCACAAACACACGTGCATGTGTGGGAACGTGTGTGTGCGTGCGAATACCAAACTAATATACCTTGTGACTAATTCATTCATTCTCCAATTTTCTCTAGCAATACCTGGTTATGTAAAGTTCCTTCCAAACTAACTGAACATTAAAATTCATAAAGTACCACGTATTTCCCCGCATGGTCTTCTCAACTTCATCCTTGTAGTCAACTTTCCTAGATTATTAGATTAAATGCAGTCCTCCTGTGCCAGCAGCAGCAAATGCCACGCGGAGGCTCTCCAGGGCCTTGTTGGCGGTGCTGCTGCTAGTGATCATTTCTTGATTGTTTTAGAGAGGCAGAAGCTGTTGTTGAAAGACCTGGAAAAAGAGAGAATCTTTAGACAGTTTAGCTATAGAAATTTGTTGGGTTTGCAAAAAACCAAAATTTAGTTTGTCTGGATTTTGAAGGGAGAGAAGAGGGGGAGGGATATAATGGTAAATAAGGGAAAGATGAGAAAGTGGGTTTTGGTAGCCATTTTTAAAGCTTTTGTTTTTCAGCTGCTCAGGTTTCATACTGATTTGAGAGATGGGAAATTATACTGCTTTGCATTCTTTCGCCTTTTTTTTTTTTTTGAAAGAAATGAAGGAGGTTTCTAGGACAGTCAACAGACAGGCTTCCACGCGAAGATAAGAGTCTAAAAGATATATTGACGTCGGTGGTATTCGTAAGTTATTGATTAAAATAAAATTTAAATTTGATTTAATTATTATCAAATAAAATTTAAGTTTAAATAATTTAATTTATTGATAGAATTAAATTTGAGTATTTTTATGTTTAATTTAAATAATTTATAAATTTAATTAAATTTTTATATTTAAATATATTTTTATTATTTTAATTAATAAAATATTTTAAATTTAATTTAAATTTAAATATAAATAATTAAATTTTTATCGAATATAAAAATTAAATTTATTTTTATATATTAATTAAATTTAATCAAATGAATTTGAATAATTTAATTTTTATTTTAAATCAAATCAAATTAAAAAATAAAATTTGATCAAATTTAAGTTAAATTTTAAATTTTAAATTAAATTTAAATTTAAATTTAATATTATATTAATTAAATTTGATCAACTACACTTCAACGGAGGAAAAAAAAGACAGCGACGAGCTTGTGTCCAGGTGGTGCCATGATGGTGGGCTGGGCGGCTATTATGTTACTTTGGAAACCGCAGATTTGGACATCTTTTGCTATAAATTTCCTTTTCCGTAAAACATTCGTGTTTTGCGGAAATTTTTTATCGATAGGGGTAAATTTATATTAATATAAAATTAAAAAATTTTATATATTTTTTTAATATTGATTTATATTAAAGATAAAAGAGATATGTAAAAAATTTTTTTAATTACATCATTTGAATTTATTAAAATTTAAATTAAAAAAAGGTGTAAAGTTTTTTGTGTAAATTGATCCCTTTATTTTATATTTTTTTAAACTATGTTTTTAAAATGAAAAAAGTTAAATTTTTATACTAAGTTTGACAACAAATATAAATATATTTATTTTTTAATACAAGTTATAACTTAATTATATATAAATGTAAATTTTTTATTAAATTAAAATATTAAATAATATTTTTATTAATATAATAATAAATATAAATTAAATATATATTTTTTATATATCCAAAAGAGAGCCGTGCAAAGCATTTCAAATTCAATTTTAACTTGATCTAAATTGTTCAAAAAACGAAATTTAATCTAATTTTCATTTTAAAAAAATATATCGATTGAATCATAATGAATTAAAATTTATTGGATATATGTTATTTTCTCATCTTACATCTATTGATTTTTTTTTTTATAAAATTTATTTAATAAGTAAAATTTTAAAAAATATAAAAATAATATAAAAATAAACCAAATAAGATGACTTGTGAATTTATCAAATTAAAATATTAAATAATATTTTTAATAAAACATATACATATAAATATAAAATTAAATAAATAATAAAACATATAGTTTTTTTATATATCAAAGCTAAAACATAATATGCAAAACTTTGCTTTTCAAATTCGACAAAAAAAAAAAAAAACTCAACCCAAATTATTTTAAATTTAAAAAAAAGCATACCATTTGAATTGGGACGAATCAACAACTATTAGATATGAATTATTTTATTATTTTTATCTTAATTGATATTTTTATTATAAAATTAATCTAATAAAAATTTAAAAAAATCGTAAAAATCAAAAGTTTTAAAAAACGAAAAAAAAAAAAAGAAAGGAAAGAAAAAACAAAAAGTGAGAGGGTTAAGTGGACCGGGACAAAATACTTTAAAATTGTCTCCAACCTAACATATTTAAAAAAATCTCGATACAATCTTGATCTAAAATAAAAAACACGTATGTTAAATCGTTACGAATAAAAAATTAATCGAATATAAATTATTTTTATTATTTTTATTTTTATTGACTTTTTTTTAAAATTAATGTAATAAAAATAAAATAAAAAACCAAATAAAGAGTTAAAAAAATAAAATTAAAACAAAACAAAAAAAGTAAAGAATTGAAGAACGATGTGGTGTCACACGCATACCTTTTCCTTTCCCCATTTTTTACAAAATTAAGTACATAGATGGAAGAAGGTGCAAGGATACCAACCTCCATCATATCTTTTCATTAAAAAATAAAAGAAATTAAAACATCTTTAAAAGAAAAAGGTGAAAAAAGAGTAAAAAATTAAATAAAAAACAAGATATGAAAAGAAATGAAAGAAATGAAAAAAATAAAATAAAACAAAAAAGAAGGTGTATGAGACACTTATCACCTGCACATCATTTCATCAAGAAATAAAAGAAATTAAATTTGTTTTAAAAAGAAAGAAACAAAATTTTAAGAAAAAGAGTTGAGCTTCAAAATCTAAAATATTAATTGTATAGATGATGATTTATTTTTTTATATAAATTATAACTTAATTGAATATAAATGTAGTTTTTTATTAAATTAAGATATTAGTAAATATTTTTATTAATATAATATATAAATATAGATAATAAATATATTCTTTTATAGGGCATTGAGGTAGAGCACTCCAAACCTAATTTCGATTTAATATAAATTTTTCAAAAATGTAAAACTTGATCCAATTATTATTTTAAAAAAGTCACACTGATTTGATATTTAATCAAAACCTATAAGATATAGATTATTTAGTTATCTCTACATCAATTGACATTTTTTTTAACAAAATATATCTAATAAAAAGTTTTAAAAAACAAAAAAAAAAAAAGAAAAGGCCAAATTGAGTGATAATTGAATTTATTAAATTAAAATATTAAATAATAATTTTTAATAAAATTATATATAAATATAGATTTAAATATATAATAAAATATATTTTTATTTATACTAAGATTGAGCTAGAACACCCAAAACCTTATTCAGTTACTTTTATCTTAACTCGATTTAAAAAAACTAAATCTAATTATCTATAATTAAAAAAAAATCAATTAGATTGGTGTGAATTGAAATTCATCAATATTGGTTATTTTTTTATCTTTATCTCAATTGACTTTTAATTACAAAATTTATAAAAATACAAAAGTGAAAAATTTTATAAAAAAGAAAAAATAAACCAAAAAAAAATCAAAAGCTTTTAACAAAGGAAATAAAAAAAAAAAAAAAGAAAAAGAAGAGAGGTGCCACTCGAGCACCCAAGATGAAATAAAACATTTTAAATTCATTTTCGATGTAACCCTAACTTTTAGAAAAATATCTTGATCTGATCTTAGGATTTTTAAAAAAACATTTATATTAAATCGATATAAATTAAAACCAATTAGATATGGATAATTTTATTATCTCAACCTTCATTTACTTTTTTATAAAATTTATGTAATAAAAATAAAGTTAAAGAATATAAAATGTAAAATATAAAATATAAATTTAACCAAAAATAAAAAAGTAAAATTTTAAAGGAAAGATAGGGTGCTACATGAACCCTTTCTCCTTTTTCTTCGTTCTTTACAAAATTAATATTATAGATTTTCTATTCTAGTCGAAAGAGAGTAAAAATTTTCTTTTACAAGAGCCCATTTAAATTCATGCGATTTATATTTTAAACCTTTGAGCAATCGAGTATGTAGATAGGTAGCTACTTATTTTTTTTAATAAGATTTAGATACTCATCTAGTAAAATAACTTTTGTAACTGATATGATTAAATCAAAAAATTAAATGCATTAAGCATTTAGTGAAATTTTACCATAACTTGAAATAAGTAAATAAATAAAGAATAGAATAGAATAGACAACGGAGCATGGAGCTACTTCGTCTATATGAACAAAATGCATAATTAAAAGGAGAGTGAAAAAAAAAAAATTGAAGTTAGAAAGGATTAGAAGGGTACACCAATCGGACTTAGTTGATAAAGATGAGCGTTTCGATGAGTAAAAATTTAATTTTTACTGTTACCAATCTTTGGTTGATAACTGATTTCTGAACTTTTAAATAAATTTGCGATATATCTACTCTTAAAATATGATAATTTTCTCTCGTCTTAATTTTTTTTTGGGTAAAAACAAGTAGGATAAAGATGAAAAACAACTTTTAAAGAAATATCGATTTAATATAAGATAAAAGACAATGAAAAATAACTCTGCATGCATGATGAACTTAAAAAAAAAAAAAAGAATAGTACTGTTGCCAATATAAATTCATTGTGAAAGTGTACATTTAAATAGTATTTGGTATTGTTTTTAAAATCATCATAATAATTTAATTATCAAGATAGTTTTATTATTAAGGTAATTTTATCATTTGTCATATGAAATTATTTTATTTGGTTAAAAATTATTAATTTTTAGTAATTAAAGATTACTTTATTTGATTTCAAATATTATTTTGTTTAAAAATATCAAAATAATCATATATATTATAATAGTTACACAACACAAGTTAATAATTAAAATGTTATTTAAAGATACTAATTTGAAAAATATTAGTAATATTTTATTTACTTTATAATAAAATATAATTAAATTTAAAAATCTATTTATTGATAGATAATCTAATTTTTAAAAAGTATTTGAATTAGAAAATAAAACTAATCTATTAAAATAGAAGATTATATTACATATAAAAAAATTGCACAAATTATTTTTGAATTTATTATAATAAATATTAGTTTGAAAATATAAAAATTTATAATATAAAAGAATTATAATTTACAGAAGTGGACCTGCCAGCTGCAACTAGAACTTATGACTGCTATGGCCTGTGCCAGCGGCCACCACCAATACTTCCTCAACTCATTTATATGATCTCATCACAAGCACTACAACCATCAAGCATATCAATTTTGCAAGGTTCTACTTCTGGTGAACATTTTTTTTTCTTTCAGAATTAGACACCCCCCCCCCCCCCCCCCCAAACAAAAAAAAAAGAACCCAATCAACAAGGCGACAAACTTTTTGTATCAGAAGACTAGAAGTTCTTAGGCGAGCCTATAAAATATACTTAAAACAACCGGCTTAACAGGATCTTACACCACAGTTTGTTTCCTAGTGGTGCAAAGCAATGCTGATAGATTTCCCTAGATTGCAAGTTGAATGTGCAGAGGTAAACAGTTAATATGACAAAAAATTATTCCTGCACATTCTCTCGTCAGAGGAGCACAATAAACAAAGTAATGTCAGCCTGCTAGATTTGCAAGCCAGTATCAACTTTATTGTCAATAAGGTATTGAGTGATGATCAAACAGCTGGCTGTTCTTACATATGATCTCAAGGAAACAAATATTTATTGCTGCATTTTATTTGGGCAAATTTCATTCCATTAGATTTCAGCAACGGCATAGTTTGCTCTCCATATCTAATAAACAGGATAGATTTTGGAATATGTAATTACTCAGCCACATGGCCTTGCAACAAGCACAAGCTCTGATTTTCAAATCCTCCTAAAAAGAATGGAGTAAACATTTGACTGCCTTCATCTGATAAAGAGCATAACAAGAGTGAGCAGGTCTTTCTATCATCTGGAATATTGCATTACCAAAATTTAATTCCAGGTTTATCTAATTAATCCACTTTGGACTGGAAAAGTCTATAATTGCCTGAGTTTATCTGACCTTTATGCTCGCGTGATTCCTTCTTTCTATACAACTGGTAAGACCTCTAAGTCTCAGATTCTATATAAAAGGAAAATATATGAAGTAAGAAATTGACTCAAAATCCCTTAAAATAATTGAACAATCAAGGCAAATCTGGACTTCTTTATTAATTATTATGTTACGCAGTACTATAACATTTTATTTCACATGTGAAAGGCAGCAATATTGAAAGGGGAAAAAAAAACGATGGTGAAAATCTTAGTTTGAATTACATACTAAAACATTAATTGAGCCAATAACCATTATTCGAGGAGAAAAATCAAGGTACAACCATCATATTCATCAAAATTGTCTAATTTGCTGCGCAATCACCTTATAATGGCTGTGAGATTCTGATTTGCTGATTGCTACTGTCTGTGGGCTGCTGCTTTGAAGCATCTGCCGATGCAGCCACTGCACCGGCTTGGCTCACGGTTTGATACTGCAGAGGCAGTGGAGGAACTTGGTACTGAGTATAGTACAGTTGATCTTGTGTAGGATTTGGATACTCATAACCACAGTTAGTAGTAGCAGCATGAGTAACAACTGCTGATTCTGGTGAATGCTGCATTTGAGAGAAGGCGACATATGGTTGCTGAAATTGAACCACTTGATGACTTGATGGCACAGCTGTTCTATAAACACTTGCTGTCATTTCAGGTTTAGCAAGGGTAGCTGTATTTGTAGGGTAAATGGGAGGCGCAGCCTCTTTGTAAGCGGTGGAGGCAGCAACTATTGAAGGAGTTGGAGGTGTCAATGGGCCGCTTTGGGCCAAAATGCTAGCATCAGTTGCGTTGGATTTCATGGATATGACACCAGTGTTAGATTTTGCATGGACATGTATGGTCGTGGTTGTGTGACTTGTGTAACAGGCATTACATACACGGCAGGGTACTGCTGATCAGCTGGATGATGAAGCTGCTGCTGTGATGGTGGAGCATACACTGGATAGTATGATGACATTGGCACTGGAGCAGGAGCTGAAGGGTGGGGGGTGTAATGCATGCTGGCTTGCATGAATTGTTGCTGCTGTTGATCCAATTGTGGAGCCAAAGCACAGGATTCTTGAACCTGTTGAATATGGATTTGGAAGCTTGGAATGGAATTATCAGCATTTGTATTGGGGCTAGCAGCAGTTCTGTTGTCTCTGGATGCAACATGAGTTTGATAATACATGGGCTTTGGGAGAGAATTTGCAGAGGCAATGCTACTATCACTGCATATTTATGTTGAAACAAAGGCAGGAAAAAGGAAATACAGTCTTCAGGACTAGATTGTCATTTCTAGAAGTTGAAATCAAGAAAATTGATAATGGACTTATAAAATACTTGAAATGCATGCCAACTAAACTTAATTATGAGCAAATATTTCTCCTTACATTGGAGTAAAACTAATGTGAGCTTATTAATCTTCAGAGAAGGAAGGTACCAATCTACTTAGATTAAGGTCTTTCTGTAACCGAAGTTAAAATTTACTTATCTGTGTGATGATATTGACTTCAATGAAACAAATGGAGCAAAGAGGAAGAAAAGTTTAAATCCAGGGAAAAGAAATCATCAAATTAGGAAAATACCTTGCATCTGAATCAGGGGAAGGCAGATTGTAAGTACCGCAAGCTTTCTGATGAACTGGCTGCAATGGCAATGGAGGTTTGCGAAAACCAGCAGGCACCCCATGATCAGATCTCTCATCATCAGACAAAAGCCGATTCAAGTTGTCACTAGAACCCCCTGCAGGAGCGATCATAGCAGTCGCAACAGAAACTGGATGCAGAGGCAGAGCAGACACAGCAGCCCCATAGCCATCATCTTGCTTATGAATATTAGTAGCAAAACTTATCTGAGCAAACTGCTCTTCTATGCCAACCCTCTGGTCCTGTAGTTTAGCCCTTCCATCCTGATCAACTGGAACCCCAATAGGCGGCAAGTTGGACATTGAAGGTGAAGAAGAAGATGAACCAAACGGTGAAGTTTTCTCCACCATTGGCGAATCAGGCAACAAATATTGCACCTCAAGAACTTCATTATTGTTTTTCGCTTGCTTGTTATGTTCTTGTGCTCCTTTTGCCTCAAATTCACCTTCAAGATTCAACAAGGTCTCCATGGTGGCAGAATCTGAGTTCCCTCTAGGAATGATCCCTGAACCATTAAGAGCATCAACGAACCATGTTTCAGACTTGGCATCATTTAGCAGTGGACCCATGAAGGCTGCACTGTCAGGCTTGTTAAAAAAAAGAAATAAACGGATTCGAGAGGAGGTTACAGAAGAAGCTGAAGATGCTGTTAAACGGTCATATTCTTCAATCATGTTCTCGAGATCCTCATCCGTGACAACTGATACAAGAGAGTCAAAGTCTTCATTTGGAAGCTGATACTTCAAGGTGAAGGGTCGGCCATTGAGAAGGGCACGTGAGAGGCGGTTGCAAAAGGCTGAGAGAGAGCAATGTCGATCAACCGCAACAATACGAGTCTCACCACCAACGTAGCAAAGGGATTTGTCATGCGGACGGGGCATTATATGACCACCAAAGCTACACATCAGGCGGAGCCTTGCGCCAGGGACAACTTGGAGAGGGTTTTCATAAGTGTTCTCATTACGGGAGCGTGGAGAGGACTCAACAGAGTCAGGGTAGTTGAAATGTACACTAGTGGCGGCGACAGCGGTGGGGGCAGCGGGGAGAGGTGATGAATCCATTGGAGGAGGCGTTTACTGTTTTGGGGTAGAGGCTTGTTGGGATGTGGACGGAGGATGCACAAGCATGAAGGGGTTAACAAAGGCCGGTTGTTTTAGAGTTCATTGTCTCATTTACTCTTTTCTAAACCAAAAAATGCTGTTAAACCTTGATCATGACTAGGATTTGATAGAAGAACTGGTGGTGTGTGTGTGTGTATATATATATATATATATATATATATACATATATAAATATATATGTATATATGTATATATATATACATACATATATATGTAAATATATTTGTATATATATATATATATCATTATAGTATTATTAATGTTCAATCAAATTGCAACTTTGCAAGTAAAAATGTAAACTTTGCGAGTAGAAATAGCTTTTTCTATTTTTTTTAACCATTGCAAGGCAGCATGACATTGCTAGCTGTAGATTTGGCAAGAGTGGGGTGGAATCCTCGACAAATTAGCCATGCATCTGGACTTTTATGGGAAATGGACTCAATCACATGCAGATTTATAGATTTTTGTGCGTTATCATAACAGGTGCTTTGATCTTTATTTTTCGATAGTACTCGTACTCAAAGACGAAGTAAAGAGAAATTAACTTCACAACAACGCCAAGTTCATGAAAATTAATTTCTATTTCACAAGTAAGGTTTTGCACTTTGCTTTACAACAGATACCAGGAGGTGTAACAACTACGCGAAATCCAAGAGAGAAACTATATAGGTCATATAGAGTATGTTTTTTCATTTCATTATTTTTAATTTTTGTGTTTTGATTTATTCTTAAGGTAATGCATCATTCTTAAATTTAAAATACTAGGATGAAATGAACAGATAGTAAATTTTTTATTAAATTATTAAAAAAGTCTTTGAACTATTTCATTTTTTAAATAAATTTTTATATTTTTATTATACAAAATAAATTATTAATCTTTGATTTATATCTTATTTAAAATAAAATATTGATTTATATTAAGAGTTTATTTAGATAAAAAAATAAAGTTAAAAATTTATTTAGGTACAAATTAAATGTTAAATATTTATTTAGATATAATAAAAATATATGAGTTTATTTAAGTAAAATAATAAAATTTAAGAGTTTTTTTTTTATTACTTTAACCTAATTTTTTAATTTTGTTTTGAGAATGAAAAGATGAGAATGAGACAATAGGAATGAGATCAACAATATATATATATATATATATATAGAAATATCTTTTGTGAATTTGTCATTTTTTGGCCTTGGTGCATTTCTAAAGCTAGGATCTAATATTCTATGTTGGTATGAACTTTTCCTTCAACTAATTTTTTTATATCATAGTCACATGTTGGGTTGTAAAATTCATAGTCGTCTCAATAATAATATAAAACATTTGTTCATATCTCACAATCTGACGAGGAGAATGTAAGGTTGGATGATATGAGTGATGGAGGGTTGTGATAAGATTCAAGTTAGAGATACAAATTAATTGGCCAAATGGAGAGTCGATTATTTTGTAATTTTTGATTTTTCATATCTTTTAGGATCAATGTTGGGTTTGAATTAATCAGTAACTTCTTGAATCCATTACGATTACGTCAAATTTGATAATACAATTTATTTAATACATTACAATTAGGTCAGAAAGGTTTCTCTGTGGGACTTGGAGAAACCACGATAATGCCCATTTTTGCACTAGACGAGATGCAAATTTCGCTTGCTTTCTTGAAGCCATTTCGATGCTTCATGAAAGTCACTTGCAAGCTGTTTTTCTTTTCAAGTCACCGGCCTTGGTTTTCCTCTGGTTTCTTGTTTTCGCAACATTTGTTCATCATTTTCTGCTGGTTAAGCATGGTGAACTGATTGGTGCTGAATATGATCAAAGATTAATAGCTTATCCCTTACCAAACACGCGCGCACACACGTACAGTTTAGATTAGTAGTTCATCCGACCCAATCTTATAAAAATTATTTTTATTTTATACTGGATAATAACAGGAAAAATTCGAGGTGGAGTCGAGATCAAGTTTTGGGCAAACCTGACTCAATCCGACTCGATGTATATATAATTATTTTTAAATTATTTATTTATATATATTTATATATTTATTTAATTTTATATTTATATTAAAAAATATTTTATATTTAAAAAATAATATTTTATTAATTTCAGATTGAATCGGATTGGATATGATTTATATAATATAAGATCGAGTCGAATTTGGATATAAAAAAATAAAAAATTCTTTGAATCAAATCGGGTTCGAATTTTATAAATATAAAAACAAGTCAGGTTTGAGGCAAGGAAAAACTCGTCTCAATCCGACTGATTGCCATCCCTAAAAAAGATGAATATGTGCCAAAGTTAATATTTCACATAATTAAACATTAATTCCATTATTCTTCTCTTGATTAACTCAAGTGGTGATGGTGGGAGAGTTTTAGGTGAAAAATCTTACATTCAAACTTTAAAGTTCTTGATCCATTTTCAACCAAAAAAAAAAAAAAAAGAAAGAAAAAAGTCACTGTGATTCATTCACTGATATAATATTTTCAAACATTATCCTGAAATCATAATTTATTTAAATGAAAATAATATATGTTCCCTTGAAATTGTCAATAATAGTTTTATAAAATGATTTCTTGGATTGAATGCGTCCCTCGCCTAATAATAGCAACATATTAATCAATGATATTTTTGGAAAATTTGAAGATTAGTCAGTTAATTAATACATTAATCAACTGTAAAAAGGTGTCCAATATTTCATATCCTTCATCTTTTAAGTTAATTACAATTTTTTGGTTCCTTGCGGTAAAAAAAATTAAGAAATTTATTTGCTGCGATGAAAATAATCAAACACCTAAATAACAGAATTTGGTGCCAATATTAGGAATCTGGAGTTGTTTTCTTATCTCTAGCCTTCTTTCTGTACCCCCTAAAATTTACTACTATTTTTTTTTTCTCTTAAATCATTACTGATTTCTATTAACCCACCTCTGAAAAGTAAATCAAAATCTTCCTTAGAGCACAAGAAATAAGAAATAAACCTCTCTTTGACTCCCCAAATTCCAAGTTTCCATAATTTTCACCCTTAAAAGGCACATACATTACTTAATTTCCTCTTTCTGTCCTTTTTTTAAATATTTTTCTATAAAAAAAATCACAGAAAATATAGCAGGTATTGAGATTTGATCCTAGATGTATTGCATGCATGAGTTTAATTCTATTTGCTTAATTTGAATAAATTACTGCTTGGATTAGCTTTATGGTTTAACAATGTTACTTAATTAACTTTACATATCATTGGGATTTTATATGTATTTATCATCACAGGATACAGGGGTGCTAAGTTTGGGACTTTGGGTGATTTGAGTCGATTTTGGATTTTCTATCCTCTTTTATTAATAAAACATCATCTTATCTGTCAAAGAAACTACTAATGTTAATTATCGTCTCTGGCGTAAATAATAAATGTTGTATGTTTATTCCATTTATTACAAATTTTCTTATGGTGGCTTTACATTTTACATTCTTGGATCCCCATTCATCTGTTTGAATTAGTTTACATTAGCAATATATATGTTTAGGGTTTGCAAAGTTAAGTTTTTGTTGTAACCCTGAGGCCTGATTAGGCATAAAATTAATTGTTTAAGTTCATGGTATCAAATCAATACTGGTAAATGGTGCTTTTTGATTAGTTACTTAAGCTTATCCACCTTATTTGCATACGAGTTTTAAGCATTATAAAAGAAGCTTAGTTTGTAGGAGGAGCTACTGGCTAAAATTAAAACATCTCAGAAATTCTATTTGATAGGTTTTCCCTAAGGAACAAGGAAAAGGAAAAACAAATTTCAGGTATAAAACAAGGATGCTATATATACTTGAATGCTTGACTGGGTTTGCCCATTTTGAGAGTGGGGTAAACCATCAGAAACCTTCTCTATAGCATTGATCAATATGTTGTTTCCAATGCAAGTTCTCTCCAGAGCTTATGTTTCAATCAGTATAGAAACTTAATCATTTTATCTTTGATTTTTTTTTTTTTTTGCTTGGAGATGGATATAAAGTTGAGTCTTTCTATCTTCATTTAATTCATCATTTGTCCTTCGTTTCAACAAAAAAATCATCATTTGTCCTTATTCTTCTTAAATTCTTGGTTAATAATAGATCTCTGTCTTCTTTTCTATGTCCTGTTGGAAAGATGACAGGTATCCTGCTGGTAGCTCATACATTGACATCTCATGGAGTCAAGGTGGCCAGAGTCCATTTATATGACAGTATAATTGTTCTACTTGTACTGATTGATGGCCTTCTGAATTTTATAGAGCCCTTTCACCGCTTTGTTGGGGAAGAAATGGTGACAGATTTAAAATTCCCCTTCCATAAAGATACTATTCCTTTCTGGGCTGTTCCCAGTATGTGTGTTTTTGCTTCAAGATTTTTGAATTTATATTATCACTTGAGATCATCTCTACTCCAATAATCAATCATAAAAATTTACTAATCCCTTTTTACAGTTTCTTTAAGTATTGCTGCCTTTAGTTTTTTTTTTTTTTTTTCATATATTGCTATTTCAGAAAGGATGTATATGATTTTCACCATGCTATACCAGGTACTTACTCCACATTCTTTTTTACTTTCAGAAACTAGGCTGTGCTACACAATGCTCTTTGTTACTTATTGAAATGCTTTAATATTTAACTTGGTCTCCTATTTTCTGTTCTGCTAACCGGAGTTATAACGGATTCAATCAAAGATGTTGTTGGTAGGCCGAGACCACATTTCTTTTAGCGCTGTTTCCCAGATGGAAAAGCAGTATGTTCTCATGTCTATCTCTTGCCTATACACATAAAAACCTCCCTGTATTCTTTTGTGGAAAGAGGCTTATTGACTACTGTTGCATTTACTTTTTAGTACGCTAAGGCATGTCCTTGACTTCTTGTATCGTTCATTGCCTGCTTTTCGTTCTGCTTGTCAATGGTATGTATAGGTGTTTGACAGAATTACAGGGGAT